GACCCTAGAGACGTGGATGGGTCTAGAGACCGTCATACAGAGTGAAGTAAGTCAGAAAGAGAAAAACAAATATCGTTTATTAACTCATGTATGTGGAACCTAGAAAAATGGTACAGTTGAACTGGTTTGCAGGGCAGAAATAGAGACACAGGTGTAGAGAACAAACGTATGGACACCAAGGGGGGAAGTGGCGGCGGGGGGTGTGTGATGAATTGGGAGATTGGGATTGACATGTATACACTGATATGTATAAAATAGATAACTAATAAGAACCTTCTGTATTTAAAAAAAATAAAAATAAAGCCCTCTGTTTAAGAACTTCCAAAAAAACCCCCAAAAAACAAACAAAAAAAACAACTACATGACCCTGTAGGGAAAACAAGTTAAAATAGGACCCCAAATCCTAAGAATTCCTGTTTCTATTGGCATTACCAGTGAATTTTGTTGCTTATGCTGCCCTTTTATTTACTAAATTAGAAATGAAGTAGTTGAAAATAGTAATCTAATGTTATTAGAGGAATGTTAGAATTGTAGCAAAACATGAGATCAGTGGGTGGGAATCTTGAGCAGAAACTGATGACCACAGGAGTGCAGGGGACATTTGTAATACAGATCACAGCAGGCTTTGTTTATGGTTTCCTTTGCTGTGCAAAAGCTTCTAAGTTTAATTAGGTCCCATGTGTTTATTTTTGTTTTTATTTTCATTACTCTAGGTGGTGGATTGAAAAAGATCTTGCTGTGATTTATGTCAAAGAGTGTTCTGCCTATATTTTCCTCTAAGAGTTTTATAGTGTCCGGTCTTACATTTAGGTCTCTAATCCATTTTGAGTTTATTTTTGTGTATGGTGTTAGGGAGTGTTCTAATTTCATTCTTTTACATGTAGCTGTTCAGTTTTCCCATCACAACTTACTGAAGAGACTGTCTTTTCTCCATTGTATATTCTTGCCTCCTTTGTCATAGATTAGGTGGCGATAGGTGTGTGGGTTTATCTCTAGACTTTCTATACGGTTCAATTGATCTCTATTTCTGTTTTTGTGCCAGTGCCATACTGTCTTGATTACTGTAGCTTTGTAGCATAGTCTGAAGTCAGGGAGCCTGATTCCTCCAGCTCTACTTTCTCAAGATTGCTTTCGCTATTCGGGGTCTTTTGTGTTGCCATACAAAAGACAACCCTCAGAATCAGAAAAAATATTTGCAGACGAAGCAACTGACAAGGGATTAATCTCCCAGATATACAAACAGCTCATGCAGCTCAATATCATAAAAACAAACAACCCAATCAAAAAATGGGCAGAAGACCTAAATACACACTTCACCAAAGAAGACGTACGTATGGCCGACAAACACATGAAAAGATGCTCAACATCACTAACTATTAGAGAAATGCAAATCAAAACTACAATGAGGTATCACCTCACACCGGTTATAATGGCCATTATCAAAAGATCTACAAACAATAAATGCTGGGGAGGGTGTGGAGAAGAGGGAACCCTCCTACACTGTTGGTGGGAATGTAAATTGTTACAGCCACAGTGGAGAACAGTATGGAGGTTCCTTTAAAAACTAAAAATAGAGCTACCATATGACCCAGCAATCCCACTCCTAGGCATATACCCTGAGAAAACCATAATTTGAAAGGATTCATGCATGCATGCTGATGTTCATTGCAGCACTATTTATGATAGCTAAGAACATGGAAGCAACCTCAATGTCCATCAGCAGAGGAATGGATAAAGATGCGGTACATATATATACAAGGGAATATTACTCAGCCATAAAAAGGAACAAAATAGTGCCATTTGCAGAGACGAAGGTGGACCTAGAGATTGTCATACAGAGTGACGTAAGTCAGAAAGAGAAAAACAACTATCGTGTAATATCGCTTATATGTGGAATCTAGAAAAAATGGTGAACTTATTTGCAAAGCAGAAATAGAGTTACAGATGTAGAGAACAAATTTATGGTTACCAAGGGGGAAAGGGGAGGTGGGATGAATTGGGAGATTGGGACTGACATATATACACTACTATGTGTAAAAAAAATAACTAATGAGAACCAACTGTATAGCACAGAGAACTCTACTCAGTGCTCTGTGGTGACCTAAATGGGAAGGAAATCTAAAAAAGAGTGGATATATGTATACGTATAACTGATTCACTTTGCTGTACAGCAGAAAATAACACAACATTGTAAAGCAACTGTACTCCACTAAAAATTAATTAAAACAAAAACAGCTGATCATTGTAGGCTTAATCTTATGAAAGTTATAGTAGAACCACTAGGGGGAAGTAGTGTGCACACTTGAAGACAAGCAAAAAGTAGCTACATTACTACATTCTCCAGTCCATTCATTCAACAAACATACTGATGAATGATTATTGAGTGTCTTCTATGTGTCAAGCACCCTTCTCAGTACTTCTAGGCCCTGGAGGCACAGTGATGAACAAGGTAGACAAGGCCTCCACTCCCAAGCTTATCCTGCTTAGATTGGGACAAAGGGTATGTTCTACAGTCTGGCTAGAAGCTAGACAATGTAAAAATGGAGATGCTCTAGAAAGCCCAGGCTATACAATCAATGTATGTATAGGTTTGTCCTGCCTTATATGATGCTCTCTTTGTTATGAAGATCCTCCTCATTGCATACCTGACACAGAGACATTCAGGTATGGACAAAGACTGACAGCTGTTAACTTAGTTAATAATAAAAGCAAACGCTTAAGAAGTACTTATTGTGTGGCATACACTTACATGTATTTACTTATTTAGTCTTACAACCACTGTATGTAATATGTATTTCATTAACTCCATTCATCAGAGGAGGAAATGGAGGCATAGAGACGTTAAGTGATTTGCCTGTGGTTATACAGCTAGTAAGTGATGCTGCCCAGCTAACTGGGATGTTTAATCCCAGTGCTGCCCAGCTCTGCACTCTGCTACCTCCAATAAAGTGTCTATTGTGTGCTTGGCCTTTGCACACACTATTTCTTTCACTCTTGACAATCCTATGTGGTAGGTGATATGATCTCAATTTGGCAGATGAAGGAAGCAAGGCTCAGAGACAAGAAATGGTAGTGCCGGTGTTCAAACTCAGGACAAGCTGGCTACAAGGCCAGTGCTCTTCACCATTGCTGCATGTTCTCTCCATGGAGCCTGCCCTGGTGAGTTTTTGGGGTGTTTAGGCACGGTCTCACAATTCCGTCCCTCCAGCAACCGGTTTGTTTTCTCTATCAGGATTCCCTGGAAGATTTTATTTGAAGAGACAGTTTAAAGAGACGCTGATAAAATAAAAGTTTGGAAAAAATAAATTTTCTTGGATAAAATAAAAGGCTTATCTTGCAGAAGTTGCAAAAAAGAATGTTTTAGAAGTCACGAAGGCAGATGGAAAATATGCCAGCAGTTAGATATACGGAAGGTCTTCTATGTATAGGCCATGACATACCCAGGATTTATTGAGGAAGTAGAAGGGGTTATTTTTCCCAAGGTTCACAGTTTAGTTGAATACCTTGCACAGTGTACGTGGAAAGAGATGAGAGGCATATAGGAATCAGAAAAGAATTGAGAGAGGCAAGGGTACATGTTAATAATGCAAATGAATTGGGTCATGTGGATAAACTCCCAAGTATCCTATGAGTCCTTTTTAGTCCTCAGCAGACACAGTACCTTTACCATCACCCATAATTCAGGCTTTGAAGAATCAGGGCTGATAGGAAAGTAGGATTTTTCAGGAAGGCTAAATGATGGTATAAGAGAATTGTTCAAGGATTAGTATTTAGCTATTTATCTTCCATTTGAAAAATGCTTATCTTCCACTTATTTGTCTAGATTTTAGGAAAATTCTCAAATCTCTATAGAGTTTGCAGACTGATGCTCTGACTAGCTCTTCTGATGTGTTTTCTTAAACATTATTCTATGTAGCCTTTTTAATACCTCCAAATTTGTTCTCAAGCCACTGATAAGATGATCTCATTGCCTTTTGAAGTGCCTTAGGGGGCATTTATCACATAAGAAAGTCCTCCACATGGAGGGATATCATTGGCTGTTGGCTTCAGATTCTTTTCAGATGGCAATTGGCCGCTAACTACTACCTGGGATGCTGGCCTTGGTGGATGGGATGAGACTATGGACAACAGAGAAAGTGGGAAACTGGCTGGTTGTTTAGGAAGGTTATATGCAAAGCCCCTTTGTTGTTTTGCCCCTTGCAGCTACTTAGACACGTCCCAAAGAGTTCAAGTTGCCCATTAAGAATGAAAGTATAGGGCTTCCCTGGTGGCGCAGTGGTTGAGAGTCCGCCTGCCAATGTAAAGGACACGGGTTCGTGCCCCGGTCCGGGAAGATCCCACATGCCGCGGAGCGGCTGGGCCCGTGAGCCATGGCCGCTGAGCCTACGCGTCCGGAGCCTGTGCTCCGCAACGGGAGAGGCCACAGCAGTGAGAGGCCCGCGTACCGCAAAAAAAAAAAAAAAAAGAATGAAAGTATAAATTATATATTTCTTGTGCCTCTGTGGGATGGGCAGTCAAGGGTTCTTCTGGGCTTGAGAGAGGTTCAGGCACATGTAAGTGCAGTCAGATGTGTAAGGCTCTTGGTGCTCTGCTCTCAGCATAATCTTTGTTAACACTAATTTTCTCTCTTCTATGCGGGTGAATTAGAATTTAGTCCACTGTGTATCTCTGTCCCCTCAGGACCTGGAGGTCCTTGCCTTGCCTCAGTGATTTAGCTGTGCTCTCCCTGTTCTTCTGACCTCACTTCCCTTTTGTTGTAAGTCTTTGCTTTTTTTTCTCTATCTCAACTTTTATGTTTCTGGCCTTAGGTTAAGTCACCAGGCCCATACCCAATTAACTCCATAAAAACCATTCAGTGCAAACGTCCAAAGCCCTTTCCCAGCACCCTGCCTCCCCTAGTTTCAGTTATTCAGGTATTTCACATCTAAAAGGCCTGGGAAACAAATGCCACTGATTCCGCCCTAGGGGCCAGTGCTCTACAGCACCTGCAAAACTTTTACCTTAGGGTTTCCCCAGAGGAGCCCCTCCTCTTCCACAGGTTGACCAGGCTGCTGGATCTGCTGGCTGCCGAGGAGGACTTGCCATCCCCCACGTGCATGCGCACCACCGTGGACGTGGTGAAGGCGCTGCGCACGTTTCTCTCTGGTTTGGCCAGGATGATGTATACCTTCGGCACAAACATGCAGCCGAGCGCCACTGTGGCGCTGAGGCTGACTGAGAAACACATGGTGATGATTTTGTAGTTGCTGCCAAAGTAGATGGGCACAAAGGCCAGCCATATAATGCAGGTGGTGTACATTGTGAAGGCGATATACTTGGCCTCGTTGAAGTTGGCTGGAACATTTCTGGTCTTGAAAGCATAGAAGGTACAGCTCAAAATCAGCAGTCCATTGTATCCAAGAGGAGTGACAACTCCTAGGTTGGTGGTGTTACAAATCAGGTAGACTTCTCGAATGCTTGGGTAGTCGTGCATTATGTCGGGAGGCTCCATTATAAAGAGGGCGATGATGATGCCCAGCTGGATGCATATGAGAATGAAAGCAATGACTAGCTGGGCACAGGCACTCATGAATCTGGGCTTTTTGGTACAGATCTTCTTCTTGCTGCCAGCCAGGATCCTTGCAATACGATTGGTCTTGGTTACAAGGGCTGAATAGCTCATGGCTGGGGAGAGACCGATGCCTATTCTCTGAAGGTAGCAGTAAATCTGTTTGGGCTTTGCAATGAGGCAGAAGGTACATAAGTAGCCCAGGCAGATGCCAGCAAGGATAATGTAGCAGAGTTCCCTGCTGGAGGACTTGACTACTGGTGTATCACGGTAAATGATGAAGACTGCGGTGACAAACAGGGTGGCTAGCAGGCCGAGGCAGGCAAACACCACAGCTGCAATGGGCTCAGGGTCACCCCAGCGAAGATACTGTACTGGGATCAAATCACAACCTGCAGAGACACAGACACATATTGAAAAAGAAGGAAGAAATATTGACTTGGGTCACTTGTGCCTAAGTTGTAGGCAGGTGCCTATGATCCTTAGAGTTTGTCTCCAGTCTACCCTTCTAAGCTCAGTATCCCATACGACTCCTTTCTTCGTATATTCAGTCATAAAATATTTATCTTTAGATTATCAAATACATACTCTGTGACAGGAGCTGTTCTAGGTTCTGAAAACAAAATGATGAAGAACATATTCCCCGCCCTCCAAAAAAAAAAATTGGTGGGGGTTAGGGGGACTTTTATAGAATTACCTACAGGTGGGATAAGGACCATGAAGAAGTAGAGCATGAACCCTGACTCAGTCTGTGGGAACAGTAAAATCTCCTTCAACAGGAATTAGCAAATGCAAGTGTTGTGGTTTGGCTGAATTTGTGGATTTGGTAGGTTTGGCAAATAGAAATTAATTGTAAGGAAAGAGCTAGGGGGCATTGGAGGCATGAAAGGAGGTTCCATACAGTAATGTGATGAGTGGCCTAAGATAAGTCTGGAACGTAGGCAGGAGGGGATCTTGCAGGGCAGAGAGTCTTAGATCAATGGGAAGTCATCGGAGGGATCTATGTAGAGTAAGAGGAATCACATGGTCAGATTTGCGTGCGTGTGTTTTAAACATTATTTTGGTTGCTGTGTGGATTTTGGATGAGGTAAAGGTGTAGAGAGATTTGAGAAATACTGGAAGCAATATAGGCTGTTTAAATGCATGTGGGGATATGTGAAAGACAAAGGCATCAAGGATGACCAACATCGGTCCTTGAATGCCAAAAAACATGACAATTTGGCGTCATTTGGGTTATGTGCCTTCCTTTTAAATTTCTTTAGGGCAGTGATTCTCAAACTTGGCTACACACTGGAATCACTTAGATATTTTAAAAAAGTACTGCGGCCTGGGTTTCAGTGCCAGAGTTTCTGATTTCATTGGCCTGGGTATCAGGATTTTTAAAAGGCACTCTAAGTGCTTCTAAACCTGCAGCCAGAGTTGAGAACCACTGCTCTCAAAGGATCATTCTTGTCAATTAGAGTTTTAAAATGGAATTGAGATAGCGCTATTGAGTGAGTAGGAGAGGAATTAGTAATCTGGAGCCCTGGACACTTCAGCAATGTGGCAGAGATTATTCACTGCCTGCAAATAGCCATTCTCCCCTTTATCCTCAGCAACAGATCTCCATTTCCTTTGGGGTGGTAAAGGATGCAGCTAAAACGCTACATTTGCCAGCAACCTTTGCAGTCAGTTGTGCCATGTGATAGGTTTTAGCCAGAAAGATGTAAGCAGAGAACTCCGTCAAGGAAAATGACTCATCTTGGAAAGTACCTTTTTTGCCCTTCCTGGCTTTCTCCTTCTGTCGACTGGACTATACACCTGATGGCTAGAGCTCCAGCAGTTATCTTGGACTATAAGGTAACATTAAGGTCAGAAAACATGTTTTGGGATTTGGAAGAGAAAAATGCAGGGAGCCTGAGTCCCTGTTAACCGTGGAATCACTGACTAGCTCTGGACTGTGTATATCATATTTACCTTGTTTAAACAACTTTTATTTCCCTTATATATGCAGCCAAACCAAATCCTAATTGATATAGCTGTAACTTCCTGTATCTCCTGGTCAAGGGTATTGTAGTAAGTGGCTTTGAATATCAATGGCTACTAGGAGGTAAGGGAGACAACAGTAACAGCATGTAATGATGGCGTAGGGGAGCAGAATTTGCCATCCCCAAGTATGTCTCTTTGAGATATTAATTACTTTCAGCTGGTTATTTTCTAAGAAATGGCAGACGGGGGAAGAAAACTGAAAACCCCACTAGGAGAGACACATTTTTGTAAGAAACATTTGCATTCATAAGGGAAATCTCCATTTGGAAGGGTAGCACCCTCACTGTACAGTAGAGGAGGGTGTCCAAATCTCTAGAAATTCTTATCAGTGGAGAAGGCAAAGACTTGAATCTGCATAAAAACCTTTACCCTTACTGTGCTTTTCCTCCCCTAGCTGACTGTCCCCACCCTCAACATCCTCTATTGTCTTTAGCTGAGGACGGTACTTAAGATGAGGGCTTTGGCCATTTTGGTGAGTTACTCATTTTTCCTGAGTCTCTCCCATGTCTACAGGTTGTTAAACTCATTGATTTCTCTTCTTAATGTCTCATGTCAATTTAATTCTTTTGATGTCAGCCAGAAGAACCTAGAAGGGTAGAGGGAAATTTCTTCCTCCCTGACAATGACAAAGAAGCGTGGGGTTCTTTCAAAACATGTCTAAGGCAGCTCTGTTGTAGAAAGAAACGAAAACATTCTTTCTTCTCTCTCTTATTTCTGCCTTGCCAGTCTTTTTCTTCAAGATCTTAGGTTTCAAACTATTAGTTTATAGTAAGATGCAATACGGGTTTAATAGGATTTGTGAGTTAGCCTAGGATCCTCAGCACACTTTACAAAATAGTTTCTGTGGGAAAATGTATGCTTAGTTTAAAAACCTGTGCTTTTTTTTTTTTTTTTTGCGGTATGCGGGCCTCTCACTGCTGTGGCCTCTCCCGTTGCGGAACACAGGCTCCGGACGCACAGGCTCAGCGGCCATGGCTCACGGGCCCAGCCGCTCCGCCGCCTGTGGGATCTTCCCGGACCGGGGCGCGAACCCGCGTCCCCTGCATCAGCAGGCAGACTCTCAACCGCTGCGCCACCAGGGAAGCCCAAAAACCTGTGCTTTTAACTTTAAAAAATGTGTATGTGGATAGCCCAGACTAAATATGACAGTTATTTTATATAGTGTATAGGATTATAAATAAATGCATATCTCATTGCTAATGAATATACCTGTATCTATTTTTAGGCACCTGTGTTCACATATGCTTCTTATTATGTAGGATATCAACTTCTGAGACTTTAGGATACCATAGGGTTTAGGTTCATATTTACAAATTTGTTCTTCATAGAGACTATTTTACAACAAGAAAATGGGGACTCATCATTCCTATCTTTATTCTTCCATAACAGCTTATTTATAACACTGATATGACAATGAAATTCATTATCTACTGTAGTTAATTCTATAGGGGTCTGTTTCCCCTGCTAGGTCATGAGCTACTAAATGTCCATAGTAATTTACTGATATAGGAAAGATGTTATGTGTTACATGAAGCAGGAATCCTTTCAACAGCTGAAGAGAATCACCTGAAAAAATATATAAATATTTAAGGGCTTTCACTTTACTCCTTTTTTTTCCCCTGTTGTTCTGCTAAATCTTAACTGCTTTTATCTAAACGTCATTAGCACCCTAATTACTGAATGTTTTCTCTATGATAACATTCATCACTGTTTTTATGTCAAATATATTCTTGAACTCTTCATGTGCAACCTGTTAACATCATGTGTGAAACTTAAATCTCCATTAGATATATGTGTTGGAAGAAATGTGTATAAGGGATGCCTCTAATGTGTTGTGGTTATTTTCTCAAAGTTGTCAGAATTTATATATTCAAATGAATGTTTTTTTCATTTAACGTGAACCACTGCAAAGGCTTTAATGATGCTGCCATTGCACAAAATACTTTTGAAACTATTGTCTTGGAATAGAAAATATTGGATTCTGATTATAGTGTTATAATCATTGAATGTTATAAATTGAATAAGATCTTAGAGTTTCCAAGAATGGATGTGCATCACAATCACTTGGAGAGTCTACAAAAATACAATTCAGGAGTCTAAACTCAGGAGATTTCGAATCAGTACATTTGGGGTGGGACAAAAGAATTTTGTTTTGAATCAGCAAGCTCAGTGACTATACAACTGGTCCTTGGTTGGCAGCCCACCCTTAGAGATTATCAGGCTGACTTCTCATCCAGTGTGTGAATGTCTTACATGATAATTACTAGATGCAATCACCCTAACCCTACCTAAGGCTTTCCATGAGCTATGTTGTCTCAAGGCCAGGATTAATAGTGGGGGAAGATAGACTGGAAAGACAGGAGGTCTGGATGGCAGGTAGAGATGGGAGGTGAATAAAATGGTTAGAAGGCTATCACAATAGGACAGGCAAGGGATGTTAGGGCAATAATTAAAAGCCACTGTCCTGAGAACATTCAGCTGGTAAAGATATTTCAGAACTAGGACTGAAAGAAATGATGAGGTAGACAGACAGCAGAGTCAGGAGAGAGGCTTGTAACCAAGCTGATGGCAGTGCTGTTAACCAAGATGCAGGCTGTTGGAAGAAAAGCGTCACAGTTTATAGGAATGATATCTAGTTCCAGTTTGGACATGTTGTGTTTGAAATGTTTATGACGAGTAGAGCAGATGGGAGCAGAAGCTTAGAAGAGCTATCAGGGTAGAAGTTACAGCTTTAGGAATCATCTGTGTATAGGTGGAAATAAGAGACATGGAAGTTAATGTAATCAATAAGGAAATTCATGGATATAGATGAGAGCAGAGTCTGGAAGTCTGGTATGACACCGAACTTAAGGAAGGGCAGAGGAAGAGGATATGTCAGGGGAGATATAAGCTAGGTCATCTAGAAGGAAGGAAGGGTGTCAGAAGCCAAAGGAAAGTGGTTAATTGGATGGTGCACCGTATCCTCCTCTAACAATGTCACTTCAGTTTTTCTTTCTTTCTTTCTTTCTTTTTAAAAATCCTTACCCAAAGAGCTTTCACAAAGCTTTGAGCTTCAGTTTTCCAGATATCTCTCCTTGTGGCATATCACTCTCTTATATTTCCCCCCTTTACTACTTTTAGTTCTGTTTCCTCTGAACAGGGGGTGGTGCAGAAGTTCTAGCAAATCTCAGAATATTGAGATACTGCTAACCTTATTATGATATAAGTTTAGATTCTCATTAATTGCTACGCCTACTTTGCATTGGTTTACAAACATCTGAATACACTGTTATTCTTCCTAAATCTCTTCCTTATTTTCTTCTGTGAATTAGGGCCTTTTCTGCATTAATGGTTTTCTTTTTTATCCCTGTTTCATTCTTAGTGT